CTTGTAGCACGAGAAGAACTCGTCTACTGTCATGGCTGTCCCCCCGGTCGCTTGGTGCCAGGAACTCGCGCACGCTATCAGTATTTTCCAGGTGTTCGGCATGAACTGCCCTGGCGCCACTTCTAGCTTATTCAGCACGTCCACTACGACCTGAGGGAGGGGTAACCTCAACCCTCCTCGCAATTTTTCTTCATAGAGGCTGAATTCGTCTGGCCGCACATCTGACGCCCTCTCCTTGGATGTGGGCAGCCTCGGCCCTACCTCCGCGGGAATTTGGTACTTCTTCCTCAGCCCTTCCAACTCCTCTGTTGTCAATATGGATCTGTCTAGTTTGGTGTGCCAATGGTCTGGCTCCACCTGACTAATAGGTCTTGCGGCTGAAATCATTGTCCTAGGGCGAGCTCGCACAGCCTGACTTGCTCCCTCCCCCTCCCTACGCTCCGTGCGATATTGTTCCGCCAAATCAACCGCATCGTCGTCGCCCAATGGATCAACCCTCATGGTTGTTGCTTCCTCTTGGGCCATCCCTCTTGTGTGTCTGCGAATAGCTTCAGATGCTGATGCGAGATAGTCAACAAAATGTCGCAAAGGGGTATCACTCGACACAAAGGAGTTTACACTTGGAGTATTTTGGTTGTTTGCAAATAGGTATGTAAAACGGATAATACCAAAAACCCAAGGCTTGCTTGTATTCCAAGGGTCATAATTAATTTTCGTCAGTTTGAAAATTTTCAACAATTCGCCAAAACTGTCCTTTCAACACCCTATAATGACCTATCGTTTCACTTCTTACCCAAACGTCTAACCTTCCCCACTACAGGATTCTGCCACGTGTACGACCACGATTCACTACCCCCTTCCCCTACCCTGTCTTTTCCACTTTAAATCACCACTTGCCTGCCGTCCCTCGAGCCCCGCGCACCGCCACTCCTCTTTCACGTTTGGCTCTCCTCATGGTCGGTCCTTCCTCTCGGCTACCCTTCGCGGCCGACCCTCCTCATGGTCGGTCCCTCCACTCGGACATCCTTCACGGTCGGCTCTCCTCATGGTCGGTCCCTCCTCTTGGCCACCCTTCACGGCCGGCCCTCCTCATGGTCGGTCCCCCCGCTCGGCCATCCTTCGCGGTCGGCTCTCCTCATGGTCGGTCCCTCCGCTCGGCCACCCTTCGCGGTCGGCCCCTCCCCTCGGCCACCCTTCGCGGTCGGCCCCTCCCCTCGGCCACCCTTCGCGGTCGGCCCTCCTCATGGTCGGTCCCTCCCCTCGACCACCCTTCACGGTCGGCTCTCCACATGGTCGGTCCCTCCCCTCGGCCACCCTTCACGGTCGGCTCTCCACATGGTCGGACCGCATCGTCGTCGCCCAATGGATCAACCCTCATGGTTGTTGCTTCCTCTTGGGCCATCCCTCTTGTGTGTCTGCGAATAGCTTCAGATGCTGATGCGAGATAGTCAACAAAATGTCGCAAAGGGGTATCACTCGACACAAAGGAGTTTACACTTGGAGTATTTTGGTTGTTTGCAAATAGGTATGTAAAACGGATAATATCAAAAACCCAAGGCTTGCTTGTATTCCAAGGGTCATAATTAATTTTCGTCAGTTTGAAAATTTTCAACAATTCGCCAAAACTGTCCTTTCAACACCCTATAATGACCTATCGTTTCACTTCTTACCCAAACGTCTAACCTTCCCCACTACAGGATTCTGCCACGTGTACGACCACGATTCACTACCCCCTTCCCCTACCCTGTCTTTTCCACTTTAAATCACCACTTGCCCGCCGTCCCTCGAGCCCCGCGCACCGCCACTCCTCTTTCGCGGTTGGCTCTCCTCATGGTCGGTCCTTCCTCTCGGCTACCCTTCGCGGCCGACCCTCCTCATGGTCGGTCCCTCCACTCGGCCATCCTTCACGGTCGGCTCTCCTCATGGTCGGTCCCTCCTCTCGGCCACCCTTCACGGCCGGCCCTCCTCATGGTCGGTTCTCCCGCTCGGCCATCCTTCGCGGTCGGCTCTCCTCATGGTCGGTCCCTCCGCTGGGCCACCCTTCGCAGTCGGCCCTCCTCATGGTCAGTCCCTCCCCTCGGCCACCCTTTGCGGTCGGCCCTCCTCATGGTCGGTCCCTCCCCTCGGCCACCCTTCACGGTCGGCTCTCCACATGGTCGGTCCCTCCGCTCGGCCACCCTTCGTGGTCGGCCCGCTTCATGGTCGGTCCCTCCTCTCGGCCACCCTTCGTGGTCGGCCTCCTCATGGTCGGTCCCTCCACTCGGCCACACTTCACGGTCGGCCCTCCTTATGGTTGGTCACTCCTCTCGATCGACATTCACCCTGCCAGCCTCTCACAACCCTCATTTTCTTCATTATTCCCTTCGTTGGACTAAAGCTGCACTTGGGAAAGGGGAACTACTGACATGGGTAAGCTCATAAAGATTACAGCCCACCATTTAGGGCCCAATATATAACTCAAATGCTAAAGCCCAGCATTGCTGAAACCCCACGTAGCAATAAAAATCAATGACATCATGACACATAGCAAGAGAAGGACAAGCCACATAAGCAGACAAAGATCTGCAAAGTTATTGCCACTGCACATTACCATTAATGAGGCCCCTTACAGCATTTATGGCGATAACCCCTCTCCGTCGGGACAGAACGCCTTCACCATGAACAAGGTAAGCTAGAGCATTGACTTTCGGCCAAGGTGACAGGTCAGAAGAGACAACGAAATGATTACAAGAGGATATAAGCAGACGTCGAAAACAAGAAGAATGTTAAGCTTTCTATCTCTAATCTATCTCTACATACCGCCTCTCTTTCTAACTTGCTCATCGGAGGGTTCGCTGGGGGACTCCCCGTTCCTCGTTGAACTCTTGTGCATGTTCCTCTGTGGGCTTGGTCACTCGGATACCGATTTGGGAAGCGTGGATCAGTCCGATCCGTTTCATCTGGACCCGCAGTATCATCAAGTCATAACTAAAATAATATTATAACTAAAGAAAAAATTGGTCATAAGTAAAGAAAAAATGACAGGGTGCATATGGTATAACTCTTTAAAGAGTATGTATATTAGAATTTCCTTAGTTCAATATATAATTATTTTGTGAGATTGTCCTTTCTTAACATTTTTTAACTTCAAGTAATTTTTTTTTTTTAAACTTTTTGATGATTCTTAAAAAATAAAAAAATAAAAAAATTTGAGTCATTTTTTTTCTTCTAATTTTAAGATCATCAAATCAAGACAGATCTAAAAAATAAAAAAATTTGATATATTCTTTATAAAAAAAAACACTAAAAATGAAAATAAACTTAACCGAAAGAAGTATCCATCCATGTATATATACATCAATAATATTAAGAATTCATACTTAAATATGTAAAAATTACTCTGAATTATTATCTTCTGATTCAAATTTATTCTGCATATAGATCTTATACCATACAAATTTAATTTTCACTATACAACCATGCACCCAAAAAATTTTGGGTGTATAAATCTAGATTCTCAGACTTATTCTATACATATACATACTACAATGAGTCCCATCTATGCATCCATCCATGTATGTATACATACTACACCATGTGCATGCTCGATGAAGTAATACAAAAATCAACCAGTCAAATGTAGGAATTTAGATGGTGAGAAAAAGAAAATTAAAAGAATTTCAAATTTCAAATTTGAAATCTAAATGAGAGAAAAATGTATAGGGATAGTTTAAAAATGAAAAAGAAAATAATACGACAAAGTTCACACCAAACTGAATTGCATACTTTGGCCCTGTTTGGGAAAGGGTTTTTTTTTTTTTTTTCTAAAATTAAAAAAAAAAAAGAAGTTAAAATAGTCAATAAAATAAAATATTATATCAAACCCATAATCATTTCACTTTTTCTCTCATAAATATCATATCCAATCTAACTATAAAAAAATTCAACAATCTTTCCAAACATTAATATTTTAACCTATTAAAATAATCAAAAACTAAAATAACCTATTAAAATAGTCAATTTCTCAAACGAGTTTGTATAATAGAATTGATAGATATACACATTGTATGTCAAGAATGACTCACATGAATTAATCATTGTTGCAGCTTCGAGTCTCAGCCATGATCAGCAATTCTCCATACATACTAGTTTTGGATTGTGACTTTTATTGCAATGACCCATCATCGGCTCGTCAAGCAATGTGTTTTCATCTTGATCCCAAAATGTCTCCTTCACTAGCTTTCGTTCAATTTCCTCAAAAATTTCACAACATTAGCAAGACTGACATTATGTTGTAGAGTTGACAATCAAATTATGATGCCATTAATATCAATTTGGTATGTGGTGTATTATAAATGGATGTCAATTATTTATCAAAGTATTGATAAAAAATGTGAACTTATAATACACCACATACCAAATTGATATTAATGGCATCATAATTTGATTGTCAACTCTACAACATATGTAGACATGGACAAGATTAACAAGTCAATGGAATAAGATTAATTTGCATTAATCTCTCTTACTCAAATATATCAACATAATAACGTGATAAAACTTACAGTACGTAAACAGATAAAACCTGATCGAGTCGAGTGTGTGACACTCTTTCCTTAAGACAGATTCGTCCTCCCACCGGTGCTTAGGATTCAATGGACGTCTATCTCCCAGGATACAACGATCAATGTCTTGCACTAGCAGCACTACTATTGCAAGCCTAGCGAACTTTGCTGTGCATGAACTCTCTTTATAGAAAAATTAGACTCAGGCAATATGAAGAATAAATGCAAAGTGAAGAAGAATGACAATTCCCCCCAAAATGAAGTGAGGGACATGGTATATAAAGACTTCTAAGTGACTCTTCAGAAAGGTTGTGATCCTTTAAAAGGACACACCCTTTCATCTCAAGAGACAAAACCATTAGAGTAAATTTAAATTCAAATTTTCCAACATTATTGTCTGATTAAAAAAATGTTATCTTCAAGGACTTCATAATTATAAGATAATAATATAAGTGTTTTCTTTTTCTTTTTTTGTGGCTGATTTGTTCAATTGAAAACCAACAGATACTATGGCAAGGTATGGATGGACTTGACGGACCATGTTTGTCTGGTACATGCGTTTACATAAAGAGAAAGGCACTCTACGGAAGTCTCATGAAAGAAGGTATGTTGTTAAGGGGATCAAAAATTGTATTGACCCAGAAAATTTGTCTTAGATTTTTATCTATGATGTGTTTGTTTAGTGAAAATTAGATAACTTGAGGTCTAATTATAGGGTGAATTTGAGCCATAGATTAATATTTCTCAATAAAATTGGGGATAAAATTTTTGAGTTTATATTTAATAGGATAATGTTAATTATAAAAATAGGATGAGGTGGCCTGTTTACATATATTCATTGAAAACCAATGTCTTTACCCCAACTCCTTTCTGGTGGTTCATTAATTTTTTTTTATTTAATTTAATTTTTTTTAAAAAAATTATTCTTCTAAGGATAAATTATGAATACATTGCTATGAGATTTGTTTAGAATATAAATTCCTTCTTATTTGATTAATTACAGATTCTCATCTATTGTAATTTGTCTATTAATTGGGCTAACAAAAATAAAAAGTAAAAAATAGCTCAATGCACATATTGTTTTCTTTCTTTGCATTGTATTGTATTGTATTTATTTTTTTGTTGTTGCTGGATATTTAGAACATAAGAGCATGTGGCAAAACAACAACAAATCAATATTAATATTTCTACATAATAGCTATTTAAATCACTAATTATTTTCTCATTAATTTTCAGATGTTGATATCATAAAACTTAAAGAGTCTTTCGGCTCTTCCAATGACTTCATCAAATCCCTTGGCCGACATTACAAGCTAAATCATGGCGACATTTGGAGTAAAATGTTGATCAAAGAAACCCAAATTTTAGCATCTTGTGCATATGAAAATCAAACCAAATGGGGCAAAGAGGCAAGTTCAACTTCTAAACAAACAAATCCTCTCCACATTTTCTACTTCCCAAAAGCTACAAAGTTAGAAAAGTGTCAAGAAAATTTTGTGCATGTTGTAGGTTCAGAGTGTGATAATGAATCTTGTTCGCACATTTTATTTGTAGAAAAGATACTAACTAATCATTTTATAAGTTCATAAATGTGGATTATCATTGAGAAAAAATTGATTCGTTAATCATAATTGCATTAAATTTGTTTTTTATAAATAGATGGTAATCATGATTTTGAAAATAATTCATCTATTTTTTAAAATAAAAACATAATAAAATTATGTAATTATGATTATTGGATTAATTTGATTTTTAATAATTTACACATATAGGCTAATAAGATAAAGAATTTGGATAATCAAAGTATGGCCCTTATTAGACTCACAAACCCAAACTGCATGGATCAAGTCCCGTAAGATATTCGAGACAAACCCATTCGGGAAAAAAAAAATATATCAAACATGAATTGTATAGTATAGATTCAAACTTATTGTGATATGTGATAAGAAAGACCAAAAATGTGGGGGCATATTTTTGTGAATGATAACACGTAGCCAAGGTGGCACCGAAGTGCCAGCCGAGGTGCCACGTGTCTTAGTCATGGTGCCGAAGTTGTCTCGGATAGGCTGAGGTTATTTGCGGAGATACCGGAATTCGAGATGAACTGATAAGGGACAAGAGTCCTAGAATGGGGGAAGACCTCAGCCTGGATAAAGATAAGGCTCTTAGGGAGTTTATCTCTATTTGACTGGGAGTCCAAGATGAGCATTGAGCAAGAGTCCATTGAAGCTAGGCTTCTACAGGGATCAGGTTAGTGCTGGCTATAAAAGTAAGGCACCCTCGTGGGTCTAAGGTACACATTTTGTATTATGGCTAGTGAGTTAAGCACTGATTGCTATCTTTGAGAGATAATTGAGTACTGACTTGATCGTCAGAGTGCCCCTAGGTAGACGAACCACCACCGGAGTCTTATCTTTCTGTGACAGGTTGTTTGGGCACAATCTATTCTGCCGGTGTTCTCCAGCTGAGTACCTTTTCGACAGTGTAGTCAGAAATTAACACACACAATTTGGCGTCGTTTGTGGGAAATGTAAGAAGAATAGATAGTCAACGACGGACAAAAAGAAAGAATTGGGGGCGACATCGCTAGTGGGAGTGGTAAAAACGCCAAACCTAACGTAGAGGAGGACAACTGCAACGAAGAACCTCGGGATAAGAGACGTACCGAAGAAAGCATGTCAGGACGGGTATTACAACGAAAACGACCTCTAGGTATGGAAAGATAGATGCTTGAGGAGGGACAACGATATGAAGAGGATGGCAAACAAATTGACAGACCTGCAATCGGTTGTCAATTTCATGATGCAGAATAACGTCATGCAACCACCGTTCTCATTAGAGGATGCGCTGATTCCAGCGGCCAAGAACGATGCCCAGAAAGGAGGGCAAAAAGCAATCCCCGCAGTCCCCAGCATGACAGGGCGAGGGAGCATTCTCATCGGCCTTCACGGGAGGTCGGGTGAAGAGAATCGATGAGAGGAGAGTCTCAGAAGACACATCGTGCCAAAAAAACCTACACCAAAGAACATCGACATGTTCAAGGGAAGGAGCTTTGCTTTGACACGACGAATGGAGGGAGGTCCAAGAGGACTTACAACGACACCGGGAGCAGCGCACCAAAAAGGCTGAAATCTGTTGACAATCGAGTTTCCGGACGGACTAAGGAGGATTTGAGGGATTACCTTCAGAGGAAGTGACAGGATGCCGAGGTAACATCTCCGGTCAAGCCAAGAACACCGTTCTTGGTGGAATTGGACAAGTTTGAGGCCTAAAAAAGGTTTCACATGCTGAGATTCCAGATATACGACGGTAAGTCTGATCCTAATTTTCACGTCGGCTTGTATTTAAACTTAATGGCACTGTATACCGGGAACGAGCCGTTGCTTTGCAAGGTGTTCCCCTCATCCTTTGGGGAAATCGCATCAGACTGATTTCACAAGTTGCCGAAAAGAACTGTGAAAAGTTGGGAAGGCCTGGCCGAGATGTTTGTGGCCAGGTTTGTTACAAACAAACTATAGCCGTTGAGGGTAGACTCCCTGATGGCTTTGAGAATTGGTGAGGATAAAAGTCGCAGGGCTTATGCCAAGAGGTATTATGAGGTGTTTAACTGAATACTAGGATGCAACCAAGAGGTGGCGGTCGTATCTTTTTAGAACGGCCTGAACGATGACTGCCTGCTTCGAAAGTCATTAGCAAAGACATTGCCAAAAAGTATAGAGGAACTTATGGCCAAAATCGAGAAATATACGAGAGCAGAGGAAGATACGCCAGGGACAAAGGCGTCAAAGCAAGAGAAGAGGAACGACTCGCAGAAGCGAGGCCGAGGTAACACAAATTTTAATAGACAAGAAACATGACTAAGGGCTGCACAGGCAGTCACCACAGTGTTCCAGATCCCAGTTTATAAAGTCTTGGAGAGAATTAGGAACCAGCCTTACTATAGAGCACCAGAGAAGATCCCTAGCGAATTTATAGGAAGAAGCCTGGGGAAGCATTGTGCCTACCACAATGAGGACAGGCACCTGACTGAGGGGTGCAGAGACCTAAAGACACATTTGGAAGACCTTGTGAGACAAGGTCACTTAAGGGACCTAGTGAATGAGGCCAGAACAACAGAAGAACAAGCAAGGCTACCCCAGGCATCGGCAGCACCCCTCCACCAGCAGACGGACCTCGAGTGATCAATATAATTCACTCAAATGTCAATGAGAACAAGGCATGTGGGGAGACTTAGAGGGTGAAACACTTGCAGCATGTGTATTAGGTCCAGCAAAACAGGCCTAGGGTAGACGAGTGCCAGGGACCAATGGTGTCCTTTACTGAAGTCAACCTAGACATGGTGCACCATCCACATAGCGATGCTCTGGTGGTATCCTTGAAGATTGGAGAATGCTAGGTAAGGCATATTCTAATTGACCAAGGTAGCTCTTCTGACATCATGTATGTCAGATGTTATAAGGAGCTTGGCCTTCACCAAGATGATCTAGAACAATCTAACAGTCCAATGGTCGGCTTCAATGGAACGCCGACATGGCCATTGGGGGCAATAAATTTGGAGGTACGGGCAGGCACCAGGAAAGTGAGCATAGAGTTTACCATCATTGACACCCCCTCACCTTACAATGTTATCTTGGGAAGGCAGTGGTTGAACGCAATGAACGTTGTTCCCTCCACATTGCACCAACTATTACGGTTCCCAATAAAATAAGAAATTGAGGAGATCACAGGAGATCAAGTGCATGCGAAGAATTGTTCCATGGCAGCAATGAAATCCACCTACAACATACGAGAAGCAGACATAGTCGAAATTGAGGACGATGACATGGAAGTCCTGGATGACGTCAGCAAAGAACTAGTTGAGAAAAGTGAGAAAGCCCTGAAAAAGATTCTAGTCCAACAAGGGAATGAAGAGCGTTTCTTCATTCTCGGCTCAGGATTGGCCGAGGAGGAAGAAAGGGAGTTAGAAGCCTTCTTATGAGCAAACATTGAGGTATTTGCCTGGACACCATATGAGATGCCTAGCATTGACCCCGAGGTCACTTGCCATAGACTAAATGTGGACTGGTTGGCTAAACCTGTCATCTAACGAGCAAGGAGGCCAACGCTGATGCATACTGAGGCAGTAAAAGATGACGTGGATAAACTGCTTGAGGCCAGAGCCATTCGAGAGGTAAACTACCTAACTTGGTTGTCAAACACAGTTGTCATGAAAAAGAAGAATGGGAAGTAGAGGGTCTGCGTGGACTTCACTAGCCTAAATAAGGCTTGTCCCAAAGATAGTTTGCCGCTCCCTAAAATCGATCAATTGGTGGATGCCACTTCAGGGCATGGAATGATGAGCTTCCTAGACGCATACAGGGGGTACCATCAGATAGCAATGTACCCCCATGATGAGGAGAAGACTGTGTTTATCACTCCAAAAGGGCTGTATTACTACAAAGTGATGCCCTTCGGGTTGAAAAATACAAGGTGACCAAGATGTTCAGACATCTAATTGGCAAAATAGTGGAAGTATACATTGATGACATGGTCGTGAAGACCAAAGAACCTGAGAATCATCTGGCCAACTTGAAGGTAGTCTTCAACATCCTTAGAACATATCGGCTCCGACTCAATGCTTCGAAATGCGCATTTGGAGTTGGGTCTGGTAAGTTCCTAGGATACATGGTTACCAGAAGGGGCATTGAGGCAAGCCGCGATCAAATCAAGGCCATCCTGGACTTGAAGAGCCCAACATCAACAAAACAAGTGCAGAAGTTGACAGGAAAGGCCGCAACCCTAAATAGGTTCATAAGCAGAAATTCTGACAAATGCAAACCACTTTTTAGTTTAGTGAAGAAGGCCACTGATTTTTTGTGGACAGAGGATTGCGAAGTCCCCTTGACCAACTTAAAAGAATACCTGACTACAGCCCCAGTTCTCTCAAATCCAGTACCTGGAGAGGAGCTGTTGTTATACTTGGCAGTTTCGGAGCATGCAGTGAGTGTAGTAGTAATCAGAGAAGAGAAGGGAGAACAGAGGGCAGTTTATTGTGTGAGTAAAACCCTATCAGGCACAGAGACCAGGTATTTACCCCTGGAGAAATTGACATTGGCCTTGATAATGGCCTCCAAGAAGTTAAACCACTATTTCCAAGCCCACAAGATTGTGGTATTGACTGAGCATCTGTTGAAGTCCCTGCTACAACAAGGAGATCTGACAAGCAGGATAGCCAGGTGGGTAGTAGTATTGGGCTAATACAACCTAGAATTTAGGTCTAGAACAGCAATCAAAGGCCAGGTTCTGGCCGACTTCGTGGCCGAGTTCACGCCTGATGCTATCCCACGTTGGGCTTCGATAAGCCGCGGCTTAGGATGTCTAGGAGAACAAGGAGAGACCTAGTTGGGAATGATGCAAAAACCCCACAACA